ACCCCCGGCCTCTCACCCCGCAGACTGGCCTCCATCCTGGCCCCGGCCCCGCAGCCCCGCTCCCGGGTCCTTCATGCCGGGGCACGCCCGGGCCTTGGGCGCCCCCCGCCCCCAGGCTTTTCCGCCCGAGCCCCAGGGTCCCTCAGCCCCACGCTCCGGGGCCCAGGGCCGACCCCTGTTTAACAGATCCTCCCGGTTTAGCCCCGGGAGTCGTTCCCTGAGGGCCTGGGGTGAAACCCGCGCTGGGCTCTGGGATGCGGCTGCCATTAAACAGGAGTTTTTCCCCAGATGAAGTTATCCGCAAGCGACTCCTGATCGATGGCGATGGTGCTGGTGACGACAGGCGGATCAATTTGTTGGTGAAGAGTTTCATTAAGTGGTGTAATTCCGGATCTCAAGAGGAAGGGTATTTGTTTTCTCTTGGTTTTGTTTTGTTTTAGTTGTGGAACAGATTAACTCGCGTTTCAGGGGAAAACTGGACTTGATCCACGTTTAAAAAGATCCACGTTAAAAACATATACATCTACTTTTCATTGTGGCTCTGTGGTGTTTCCAGTGCAGATGCCAAGCGCTGTGGTAGGCGATGAGGACTAGAGACGGGTCAGAAATTACCGAGGGCTGCAGGCTGTAGCATGAAATCTGCCAGCTCAAATGCCCTCAGGATTGTCGTGCCGCTGTGTGATCTGACCGGGAGTCCCGCTATTATCACAGCATCATGACTTGAATATTTTAGTTGGCAGTTGTGCATTTGTTCTGTTAGGGAAGGGCAGTACTGCTGGTATTTCTGCTGCTGCAGGTCTTTTTTTAAAAAAACAACCCCAAAACAACCAAAAAAACCCCCACCCCAAAACAGGCTAAAGCAAGAGACGAGCTGCAACGTGGTGTTCCACTGTGGGGTCTGTACTAGTACTGCATGTAAATTCCCAGAGGACACAATACAACGATGGTGTGTACAGAGAAGCACCGTGGTATTAAAATACTAATCTCAGTGGTCACAGAGCCAGCCCTGGCTGGGAAGTTTGATCCCTGGATCAATCTGCCCGTTGCTTTAATACTCGCATTACACCTCTAAGGACACGATGGTGGAATTAATGGGTGCGATGTTTCTAAGTGCACTTTCAAAGAATGATACATTGAATCTTTGAAATATTTTATTTCTCTGTTAATTGTTATTTAACCCTTACACTACATGAGTCTCTGTTTTCTTGTTTTGTAAAAGTAGGGGGTATTTTTTTGCTGTTTAGGAATAAATATCCTGTCTGTTTTCAGTTACAGCCAGTACCAACGAATGCTGAGTACTTTATCACAATGTGAATTTTCAATGGGAAAAACTCTTCTGGTATATGATATGAACCTGAGAGAAATGGAAAATTATGAAAAAATCTATAAGGATATAGGTAAATATGAGAAAATATGACTGTTTGCTGTTTGACAATTTCTCTTTTATGAGCTAGCTTGGGCCAGTTCTGGTAAACGTAACGTATGCATGTGATGGGTGGTTTGGGGTTCTGGTTTGTTTTTTTCTGGTGACAGATAGCACTCATACATGTGCTGTATGCATCTTATTAGCATATAAAATACATACAAATAAAAACTTTTTTAACCTATTGACATGTATGTAGTTTTGAAGCTGATGGAGCTGGTAGGCCACCATGTCACAGACAGCTCTTTAGCTTTCCATAATTTAACAGAATGTCTTGTTTACATATATTGTTTGATTTCAATATAACTGTTTGTTTGTTTTGGTTTTTTTTAAAGAAAATAGTATAGCTGCAGCACATGAGAAGATTGCTGAATGCAAAAAACAAATCCTGCAAGCAAAAAGGATTAGAAAAAATCGCCAGGGTAAGGAGCAACAGCTCTATTTACACTAGTTGGTTTCATTATTTTGTTATCTTTTAAAATACACTGTATCAAAAAATAGATTCCAAATTTTTGAAAGTGTAAGAGCATATACTTACATCATGAATACTGTGTTTAGTCTGGTGGGTTGATTTGCAACATCAGGAGAACCTAAAACAGTAGTTGAGAGACGTTTCAGGTCAAAGAAAAACCGCAAAAGCATCCTGTCACAATTCAGGTGACTTGGGAAGAACTAAGAACACAGTTAACAGCGAGACAAAAGTTAAACAGACTTAACACCCAGCAGTGAAGGTTATGCAAGTGTATCCCTTCAGCTCTTAAGGGAAGGTTATGCATTCACAGAGACAGAAGTGACAGTTACACACCCAGGAACTCTGTGTGTATTCTTACTGAATACCTATTAGAGGGTTTTTCCCCCCCCCACTATTAAAAATATGTGCTGATAATTTAATTGTCTTATTAAAAGATTAGCAATTGAGGAGAAACAAGAATTTGTTTAAATGAAATGCAAAAGGAAAATGTTTAAAAGTATAACAAATGAAAAGTTTTAAATGCGACTATTTGATCAGTTTTGTGGATAATTTTAAAAGATTAAAATGAAAAATTAAATTAAAAAAACTCTAACCAGTAGGAATGTAGAGTTAATACATCTCCACAAACATAGGTCTGAAGTGTTAGCTCTGTCCAGCCTGCAGCACAGATTTTTTCCATGTGAATGAGGTAGTTGTATATATAACAATCAGGAAATGGCTATGTTAGCTGCCTACATAACCATAATGTTGTTCATTATGTGTAATACAGTTTTAAAAAAATCCTTTTGTCTCTCATGCAGCATTTCATACTTTTTTCCTAAAAGAATCTTCAGTGTTTATAGGTAACATCTTATCAGCACCATTTTCTATACATCTACATTAGATAGTATCTAAAACCAGTGCTTAGGAATCATACACAAAGAGCAAGTGTGCAGCAGTGCAGAGCTATCTGAAGGCTGTCTTTTCTGACCTTATCCTTTACAAATCACTAGCACTGGGTAAGTTTCAGTGAGTATGTAATGGCCCACAATCAAAGTTTATTTAAAATCTCTTTTGATGTAATCATCTACTTTGAAATGTGACTAACTATATACATTCTTATAAATGGATATTTGCAGGTACATTTTACATATGTAAGGTGTTATGTACAAATTTGGAAAATGTTAAGACAGTTTTTAAGAAGGAGAAAGAATCTGTACCATTCTATGGCACCTGATTTCTGTTTCTTGAATGTACACTTTCAGAATCATTTAGACTATTTAAATTTCTTTTAGAATATGATGCATTGGCCAAAGTCATACAACACCATCCAGACAGACATGAAACACTGAAGTAAGTATGAGACTGCATTAGATGATAATAAGTCAGTAAGTTAGAAGTCATGAGATTTGACATTTCTTTGGTTTCAGTTTGACCTTTCCTCACTTTCATACAATTTCTTTTGACATAAGAAAAGCTTGGGGTGTATTTTAAAATTGTGCCCTTATGAGCTTTCTTTGGTTAATCTCCAGGTGCATGAGTTCAGAAGCATTGTTAATCATTTTGTATTTTAAATTTGTCCATTGTTAAGGTGAATAAGTGAACTTGGATGTAAATGCACATCTAGTGTCAGTTTACCAGGCACAAGTTGCTCAGGAAAGAGAGATAGCGGGGAAGCGCTGTAACGTGTGCCAGCAAGGGACTCAGTAGTCACACAAAACACATGGCACACCAGCAAGTAAAGTGGGATGAGAGAAAGCAAGAGAAAGCTCTTAGGTTTTTTATGTTGTCCATGTAGAAGTTGTTCCTGCATGCCTGGCTATAAACTGCTATGTTGTGTACCACAATATAACCTGCCCTGGCATGCAAGTTAGACCTACCCCTTGTCCAACTCGTCTTGCACGTAACTTAGAGTATTGCTTGTGGCATTGTTGGATTTGGATCACTGTCTGTGCTTTTGGGGCAGGTGTGGGGAAATAATATTTTTTAGTTTATCAAGCCCTAGAAACATTCTGGGACTCATTTAATCTATGAGTTTGTTCTTCTTAACCTGATTAAAGATGTAGCATGGGGTTCCTGTGTGTGGGGGGGATAAGTGCAGTTTGAGCTTTTCCTTTTGCCCACTTTCAAGGAAATTGCAGAGGGAGGCTGTCTTTTCACATTCCGTGGTCTTTCATAGCAAAAAGAAGATCTGTGATTGTATTATTACCCTAATAATAAAATTTTTATAGCTATAAGCCACTGAGAATATTTCACACTTTTCTTTCTCATATGTTGTTTTTCCGTGCCTTGATTTCATTACCACAGCTTTGATTATTACAGGCAATCCTCTTGAGGCTTGAGTACTTCTTACTTCATTAGTCAGCATATGCCATTTATCAAGTGAGGCTTCATAATAAAGAATTAACAAAAATGAAGTTTTCCAGATAAGCCAACTGATGAAGAATGGAAACAACTAAATTATAATACTTTTTTTCCCTCAGAGGATTCCAGGTTGTTTAGGTTTGGAGGGGTTGTTCTAATTTTGCTTAACACATCCAAGCATAAGTTTCTTAAGCAAAGCTAGAAATGGTGGTAAGTTCCAGCTAATAAATTTGGCATTTTGTCTTCTCTTAAACTTAATTTTATCATCTCTTTAGGAGATTATATTACAGTTAGAAATACCAGTGTGTTCATCCACTGGAAAAATGGCTACAGTGTGTGCCCTTTTGTCCTTAGTCCTTCATATCTCCAGTCAAAGACACAGACTTGAACTGTAGCGGAGTGTGATCCCCCATTTACAGATGGGGGAAACAGGACATAGTAACAGAATTGAACATTTTTGAAGGGACTTTGTTTCCTTGGTGTTTTAGCTTTAACTGGCCCCTCCATGTAAATAGATTTTAAATACAGGAACTAGATGAAGTTTTCATCCAGTGTTTTAATTACAAGGTTTCCTTTCTCTCCCATTTGAAGAAAGTATACAGAAGATCCTACTATGAACCAAGCAGGACCACCCTAAATCAGAATGGAGGAAGCCTCACTAACACTGTCACGCTTTTCGTGGAACTCTTAATTGCTAAAAACACTTGAGAAAACTTCTTGTGAGGAGAAATGTCATGGTTTATTGCAAGAGTTAGTTACATTTACAGCTTTTGCAGGTCCTATGGTACAATAGGACAAAGTTCAGAAAAATACTTTCTTTATGCTTTTAAGGGACTGTTTCTTGGAACAACTAGTCATACAGCACAAAAGAAGAGAAGGTGTTATCGGCTTAGTCAGAAGTAACACACACGAGCCAATTCAGGAAGTGACAGGAGCTGAACTACTAAATGGCAGTGCCCACAGTGTAATTATAGGTGCAGTCTCAGAAGAGCTGTTAAGAGGACCAAGAAATGACACTGAATCTTAGAAAAGGAGATAAAAAAAATAAAAGAGAAGGCTGGGTAAAGAGTCTCTGGAGCAGAAAGTAAAAGAAGTAAAATTCCAGATGTAGCTTGGGTGTTACTAGAAAAAAATTGCATGTCTTCTCATAGTCCACTTATACCTGACAGCACAGTATGAGCAGCAAGATTTGGCCAAATAGAAGCCTTTCAGAAACTAGAAACCAAATACCAGCAAAATCACAGTATAAGCCTATAAGCTATTAGCCTGCTTCCATTATAGGAAGGGATAATGTCACACCCAACCCTCTTTCAGGCATTCCCCTTAAGGTACCAAGCATACTGGCTCAAAAAAAAAAAAAAAAAGACAGCACCCTCAGGTAGCACTAAACCAGAGTTTTTTCCCAGCCATCATGAGTTACTTAGAACTGGGGGCCTTTTTGTGGTTCCCTGCCCAGACTGGTTGCAGCAGCTGTCAGTGCTTCAGAAAAATTTTTTTTATTCCCTTGCTGACCCCTGTATGGCTCTGCCTGCTAATTAATCAGGGATGGTCAGCCTCAATCCACTTCACCTTTAAAGAAATAGATTCTTCTCATTACATGGACCATAAATTATGGTGGGCGTTAGAAGAAAAGTAGAAGGGTCAGACTGTAGATTTGATTGTAAGACTTAATACTCTGTCCTTATTTGAGAGGTAGTGTACATTATAGTACCTGTTATTCTTTGCCCTACCTCTGAAAGAATTGTGGTGGTCCATGGTGGGGCCAAATGAGAACAGAAAACAGTCAAAGGCTTGCAGAAAGATCCCAAAGAGGTGTTGAAAGATGATGTATTTCAAAAGGATATGAATAATAATGAAGATGATAGGTGTTGCATATTTCCTTTATCTCTTAATGCCAGAGGCAAGCAGTTAAAATAAAAACTGGCATTTGAGAAGGAAATTACTGTTTATATGGATCACAATGTTAAATTCTGTGTGCTGAGGCACAAGCTATATCATGTAGTTTCATTCAAAGCATGAATTATTCTGCCTATGCCTACTGTGAATTCTACATGTTACCCACTATTCTGTCTGGTCAGCCCGCTGTCAGAGATAAGGTACTTGACTATGTGTTTGGTCAGTTGTTGTGTCTGGGAATTGTTATGTTTGTATGTTGGGTATGTAGGTTTATCAAGTACGTTCATCCAGTGTTTTTATTTAATCTACTCATGACAACATAAAGAAATCTGTGAAGTAGTGAAGCCTATGAAAATGCTGTGGGTGTTTAATGTAACCCACTTTAACTTTCATTTTATGGTCAAGTAAATAACATGTTTGTGGCAAGACTGAATTGTTGTAGTCCAAATGCCCAGTGTACAACTGTGTTTCGGCTTAGAGGCCTTGTTTTCTGTAAAGTCCTGAAATTACAAGTTTATGACATAATAGTTTAACATGTATGTGAAGTGGCCTTACCTCTGTGTCATTTCATTTGTCATGCTTTGCTTACCTATCCTGTTTATTTAATGGTTCTTTTTCCTTCACTTAGTTCAAATCTATTTGCCCAGAATTTTACAGAATTCTTTTTAAATGCTATGACAATTTCTTTTCAGGCAGCTAGAAGCTTTGGGAAAAGAACTGCAACATCTTTCTCACATTAAAGAAAGTGTTGAAGATAAGGTATGTTTTTCATAGGGATTGTTATGGAATTATATATTACGAACATAATTAATGCAGCATCTGCTATGGGTTGTTTGTCTGTATGTGCTGTTCCCTGAAATAGATATTTTATCATTCCAGTTGGAGCTGAGAAGAAAGCAGTTCCATGTTCTCCTGAGCACTATCCATGAACTTCAGCAAACCCTGGAAAGTAAGTGGTGTTCTTAGGTAATGTATATAACTAGGTTGGGTTTCAGCAGATCAAAAGGAATCACAGCTTCCAGCAGTGGGCTAGCTATGTGCAATTGATGGTGACCTCTTGCATTGGCAGCATTTTTTCCCTCAGTAGTAGTCCCAAGCCTGAGACTGCTCAGAATTTTTTTCCTCTATGGGCTAGCCACCATGTAATTTCCTGACTAGCTCCAGATTAATCTGGAGGCAACAGACTTCTTTGAAATGTGAGGATGGAGAATAGCAATTTGAGGTTGGTTTGTTTGTTGTTTTGTTGGGGTTTTTTTTAAACAGAAAAAGTATTTCTTAAAGTATTCTTGTGCATAGTTTCCAAACTTACTTGTAGAATTCCTGTTTTCAGAATATGTCACTGCTGTCATGGTATAGTTTGAGGCTTTACTAAAAAGAAATTGGAATACAGGAAAGCTAAATGACTTACCTACTCAGACAGTGAGTCTCTAATAGAACAGGGACTGAAACTGTCATACACAAGAGATAAATTCAGGAATTCAGTCATACTCATCTTTTGTCCTACAAATACTTAATATTTTCAAATGGGTGTTTACTTTTCATGGTCTAATATGGATAATATTGTTTGAAATACTATTTGCTGGTTTTTTGCTGTGTCTTTCCAAGATGGAATAATTGGTATAGCCTTTGAGCATGACCTGATTAACGTACATAGCTGGCTGTAAGAGCAGACTTTCATTCTCTAAGGCCATTTATATCTTCTTAAGCAGAATGAACTGTTAATCCTTGGTGCACTTTAGCAGAAGGTTATTGTTATTATGTGTTAGCAACACTTAAGCAAGTGCTAGTCTCTAAAATACATTTTCACATGAATGTATAGATTGCCTCTCAACTTCTAGAATTTTGTGAAGGAAGAAACATTTTAGTGGAAGGCACATCTTCAGTTTCAAATAAACCATTAATAGGCAAAGAGAAGGCACGTAGTTTGAAGCAATCAGGTACTGTTTGCTTGAATTGATACTATAGGATTTACTCCACATTTCCTGTAATAGCTGTTACAGATAAATCTTAAAAATTTTAAAGGATTTTTTTGTTGTTGTTTGAACATAGCATTTTGTATAATGAGATACTCAACTACATGTTTAAGGCAATCAAAGTAAAATATTTAAGTTGGATGGACACAGCTCTGCAATATAGTCTGTAAATATAACTGAGTGTGTTTGACTAACAGTAATATTGAATTTTAGATGATGAAAAACTTTCAGAAGCTGAAGAATCTCAAGAAACTCAGATGGAAACAGAGACCAAACAGTAGATGTAATATGAAGACTGACTCCACTATTGAAGAACTTCCATGTGTCTTCACTTTGTGTTGGAACCAACAGTAAGAGACCCAGAGCTGAAAAATAGTTTTCTACTGCTTCTGTGAATTTTTATACAAAAATACTTGTTTTGCTTATGCTTCAGGGGAAAACAGTTACAGATCTGTGCAGAGAGGCACTTTGCATTAATCCACAACCTTTGTTATTTGTGACAAGAAGTACCTACCTTGTTTTACAAAGGATGAAGCTTCTGCACAGTACTTGTGAACTAAAGTGTTTGCAAAACATTGCCAATAAAAGGTGTTTACAAAGAGCTTCCTATTTGTTTTAGTAGGAGATTGAGCCTAATAGTAAGGGCTCCTTTTCTTACCTGCCGTTGGACTGAGGGCAGTGCATCTTTGCATGAGTCCCAGCTTCCACCTCCTAGTCCAGATGGGACCTAAAATTGAACCAAGTAGGGTCTTAATTTTTCAAAGTAGCTGCTGTTTTAGAACTTACCTGTGACTAGACTAGAATTTGCTGGTTCTTTACAAAACTAATTGCTTCTCTAGAAATAATGCTTGTTGAGGAGTTTAAAACAACAAAAATTATACTGTATTAGCTTTATTTTTTTCTTTAAGGTGATGCAAAGAGGTGCAGTGATCTGAGCCTCATTATGCTGTGTTCTGTGCAACCACATCAAAAGTCACATTTTGAAATGACACATTTTAAACTGTGATTTAAAAAGCTTTGTTCTTGTAGAACCAGGAGTCTAGTCCTGATACTGACTGTAATCTACTTCTGGATTTTATCTGTCAATTGACTATTATGAAATACATCGTAGTTCCTGAAACAGATGGTGGAACCCTTCCTTTCCCATGATAACAAACCAAAGTGGTAGAGCAGCAATCCTAATGTTAAAGAATCTCAGATACTTTTATTATTAATAGGAAGGGTGTAATCTCTCCACCTGGATCATCCTGCAGTCCAAGCAGTCTGTTGGGAGGTAGGAAATACAGGTTTTGACCTTCCCAACAAGAGAAGAGAATTGAGTATGCTCTAAACTTTTCTAAGGCAGGGAGGAAGGAACAAGGGGTAGTAGTAGGTCATGTCACTACCTGTTATCCATGTTCTAAAATACCTGTTAAATCAAGCCTTCCACTGGTTTGGGTAAAGGAACATGTTTTGGATCTTGCTAAGGCTGACTCAAACATACGTGGTTGAAGTAAAATAACGATCTTATGTAGAATAGAGCCTCCTCCTCAAACTAGGTGACAGCTGAGGGGGACTTCCAGGATTGTGACTTTGGACTTTCACAGTCTAAATGCCATATAATTCCCACTCTCAGTGGCTGTGGATCTGTGTGCGTTGGCTTGAACAGACATATCTGAGCTTGTTTTGCTCACATTCCAAGTTTACTAAAGACAAGCCAGCCGAATGAGAAGTCATACAACTTCAGTAGCACAGTGCAGCCCTGGACTAATAAGCTGTCAAAAGTCTTCTAGTTCACAGCTGGTCGACTCAGAACACAGAGGAAGCTCAGGATTGCCTGATAGAGCCTGTGTAGACATGCAGTGTTTCTCATGCACTACAGATTTTGCAGATGGGGGCGTAGGGAGAGTAAGCAAACAAAAGGGATTTAATATGAAAAATACCCTGTCAAACAGTATTTACTGTTCTGCTGTTTTTCCCCTCCTAACAACTGAATAGTAAAGTATTTTGTAAAGCAACAACACTAAATTATTGCCAAATCAGGGAGGAGTCACTTTTATGAATTATGAAGATCATAAATGACAGTGTCTCAAGACACTTTAAAGCCTATTAACTTTTTGTTGTTGTTGTTGAGAGGCCCTCCATGAGCTACCTGGATTTTATTTTGGTGCAGAAATGGATGACGTTTACCAGCTAAAAATGGTCTCTGGAATAGCGTTGTCTTGAAAACCTCAAATTTTTCTATTCTTTGTTTTACCCAGTACTTTGGAATTTTACTTGGATCACTCAAGTATTTTACCTCAGAACTTGCACTGCTCTGTATAGAACCTGAGCAGAAACCTGACCAATGAGTCTGTCCCTCCACTACAGAATACATCTGCAGAAACAAAACTTGTATGGAAGAGAAGCAATACAAACACATGGCAAAGTAAGGAGTATATTCTAGTTTGAATCACAGTGATGCAATCTTGAAAAGAAATTACTGGCCTAGAAAATCGAGTAATGCAACACGGCAGCAAGAGGGTGATGTCACCATATTGCCTTGGAGAGAAACCAAAAAAACCAAAGTGACATCAATTCATTGCAAATGCAGCCTCAGTGGGACATCTGAAATCTTTGCTCCTATTTTTTTTCAGTGTCTGCACCTCTAACCTCTTGAACATTACATTTGTACTAAAGAGAAACAAAACCAAATGAAATTCTAATACCAGGCAACATTTAACCTGCTCTGTTATTACACCACAAGTTCCAGGTTCGAATCTGTTATGCATCTGTTGAAAATAGAGGGGTTTTTTTCTGTGTCATATTTCCAAGGCACAGATATTCACTGTTTCATCCCTGCCTGGAAAGCTGTCCTGCTATGATGCTGCTTACATGCATTGACTCTAAATGTACACATACAGATACCTGTACATATAGAAACTCAGGATCTCAACAACCACACTATTTAAATAATGAATCTTTCCTGTTCTTAGGATTTGCCTTGTCCCTCTCCGAGTTTATAACAGAATATAACATGCCTAAATGTTCCATCTTCATGCCATGGCCACATGGATGCAAAAATACAAGCAGAAAGAGAGATGCTGAAGTGATAAGCTGACATTTCTGTGCCAGGACTTGTTTTTCTGTCCTCTCCAAACAAGAGAATGGTAGAGGGAGAGTGGAACATTGGACAGAATTGGTAACTTGGGCAGAAGGAGGAGAAAGAAGGTCACAGTGACACACTGCCAAGTGATAGATCTCTCTGAAACCATGGCAATTTGAAGACAGCTGCTGCCAGCAAAGAAAATTTCAAAAAATGTATCCCAAAGATTTACAAGATAGAAATTATTAATTATTTTAGATACTTGTCACGTAAGTTTTCTAGCTGTCACAGCTGACTTGTACCATCCTTTTCGTTGCTTCTTAGGTCTCAGAAGGTTCTCCTTTTTTTGAGAGTTAAAAAACAAAAACAAAAACCAGAAATACAGGCAAGTGCTGTTAGTTTTGGTCTGGGAATGTCTATGGTTTTTATTTTCTAGAATATGTGCATTAGGGAAATACTGTACTAGTGTACGAACAACTTAAAATATATATACACAACAGACCCCAGGGAAAGCAAGTTAGCAATAGAGAAGCTCTCTACCTTCCATGCTTCATCCTGATTGTCAAACATGTTCTTGGGTTACCTCAGCCTTCATTTCCCAAGTCTATTTTAATAAACATTATTATCTGTGTTGCAGAAGTCCCTGGAAGGGCTGCTCATAGCCCAGGGCCCGCGTGTTGCTAGGCACTGTGCAAAGGCAGAACAAAAATGCTGTTACTGCCCCTGTGTACTGAGCGAGCAGCAGCACAACAGCCAGGAGGCAAAGCCAGGCTTGGAGCAGAGCGTCCTGAGCAGGGCACACACCACAGTCTGCCTGCCAAGGCCCCAGTGTTCTCCCTGCCCATGGCATCGTTGCACGAAGCTGCTCGCTTATGCGGTGAAGGTGGTTGGGGAATGGGACACTAGGGCTGGGGACCTGGTGCGTCCCCACCAGTGGGACTTGGCATCCTCACATCGAGGAGTTTCCCAGGTATTTGAGTAATCCTGAAGCCAGGGATGCAGTATGCTGTGGTCTTTGTCCAGGTTAGCAGAGTCCTAAGGAGGAGGATGGGGGGACCTTACAGTCTCTGTGTGGAATGAAACCATGGAGGGCTTGTTTTGTAGAAGGAAACAAGGTCTAGGCCAGTCTTTGATAGAAGCAGTGAGCTTGTTGTGATGGGCAGTCACTGCTGGTGTTGCTGGCTGAATGGCAGGAGCTGATACTAATTGAGGAACCCACAAGGAGGGAACTCTGAAGCAAATTTGGTTTTGTACACATGTAACGTTGATGTTTTGTGTAGGTTTTGTGTGGGGCCACACATTTGGATTACAGAAAGTACCGCAGCTCACGGGAGCTGGGCAAGGTGGCACCTCATGGCAGCAAGGTGGTGGGCTGACGCACAGCACCCAAGGCCTGCGCCCAAGGGCTTACTGACTGCTCTGAAACTGTACCCAAATGATTCACAGTTACCTGCATTGGAAAAGCCCTGTAAGATCATCCAGTCCAGTCATTAACCCAACACTGACAAGTCCCCGACTAACCCATGTCCCTCAGCACTGTGTCTACACGACTCTTCAATCCCTCCAGGGATGGGGACTCACCACTGCCCTGGGCAACCCCTTCCAATGCCTCAGAACCCTTTCAGCAAAGAAATTCTTGCTCACATCCCATCTCAACTGCCCTTGGCACAATTTGAGGCTGTTTCCTCTTGTCCTGTCACTTGTTTTGAACAGACCCATCCCCACCTCTCTCCACCCTCCTTGCAGGGACTTGGAGAGAGCGAGAAGGTCTCTGCTCAACCTCCTTTTCTCCAGGCTCAACAACCCCAGTTCCCTCAGCCGGGAACTCATCACACTTGTGCTCCAGACCCTTCCCCAGCTCCGTTGCCCTTCTCTGGACATGCTCCAGCACCTCCATGTCCTTGTCCTGATTCATCCTGCGCAGTCCGGCACCTACAGAGCTATGGCCGAGGCCGGGCGAGTTACAGAGTGTTTGTTTTCCACTCCCCTGGTATAAAACTAATCCCGAATTTCCTCATTTCCACCAGCACAAACCCGCCTGCCCAGACCCCGCGCTCCCGCTTGTGTAACCCCCGCTGAGGGATCGCCCCTTCCCAGAGCGCGGCGGAGCCTGCGGAGGCCGGCAGG